GACACAGTCTCTATGGGGTACTGGGAGCGTTGGGTGGGTAGCAGCTGCAAGGAGACAGCAGAGAGGCGTGTAAGACTGTGACCCTGCATCCTGGACTCAACTCTGGGTTGTCATAATTTAGGTTGTAAAACAAACTCGTCCAGATTTCTAGATAAGAGAGCCGCACCACCCAAAGTGGGATGGATGCCGTCTCTGCTAATCAGACCAGGTTTTCCCCAAAATGTTTTCCAGTTATCTATGAAGCCCACGTTATTAAATCACACTAAACTTAGTAGCCACTACAGAATGGAATGTCAAAGTGAAACCAGGATGTCTATTCCACTTGTGCTTCAGTCATAATCTTACTGACATTTCTTAATGATGCAAATATACTAAAATTCTACAACATTATGTTGGGGTTCACTTAATTAGTTTATTTTAAAAATTGTATAATATAGTTCATATTTTATTTTGATTTTAGAGGCCCTTCTCACAAACCCAGGACATTTGCAGATTAAACCTCACCCAGCAGACTGATAGCAGTCAAGTGTCGAGCTACCCCTTGCTGGACAATGCCCAACAGACAAAATGAGGAAGAACAAATAGCACAGGAGGCTAATCAACAATTAGCAACAACTTAAATGATTCTGCGTAACATGAAAGGGGTTGTGGTCAACCAACTGTGACAGTGAATGTTTTTCAGCTAATTGTTTGGTTTGGCCTTCTACTTCATTGTTGTGGTTCACTCTTATTGGCTGTAATCACTTTGTAAAGTGTCCTGAGATGACTTTTGCTGTGATTTGGCGCTATACAAATAAAATTGATTTGATTTGATTTAATCACTGCTGGGTAAAACACTGTTCAGTCCTCTCTGTCCTGCTATTATTTTGTTCTTTTCATTTTAATGTTTATTTGTATGGGGCCGACTATATTGCATGACTCAGTGCTGTATAGTAAAATGATGAGGGGTTCAAATTCCAAGAGCAAGTGTTGTATTATGCTCATTTATTGACCGTAATGTGCAGAAACACATTTCAGAGAGTTCTGGGCCTGCAGTTTGATCACTTATAAATAGTATTGACCTAATACATATTTTAAAAACATCACTCAGCTAAGCAGAATTAAACCTGGAAATAAAATTGATTTCTTGCTAATTGTGGAGGTTGTTTGCCTGCATGCTGTTGCTTTTTAATGTGTTTTTTTGTCCTAGCATCATGTTTCCAGAGAATTCAATTAACTATTTAAAGACTGCAAAGGCAGCTGATGACCTGATACTGCACCAAACATTTCTTCATAACAAGATACAGTACCTATAGAGTCAGTGGTGCAATGCACTCATGCCTTTGTTCTGAAAAGCAATTTGTTGAGCGCCCCATTTACTCCATGAAATTGGAAAATAGACAACTCTTCCAGCAGATGCAATAAAATATCAGGATCTGGCAATTACAGTATTTACTCTACCCAGCATGTTATATGAACTCTGTCCAGCTTAAAGTACCCTTCAAGCCTGTGACAATGGCAACTAATAAACAACAAGAGGATTCACCTGCACATAAATGATTTCAATCAGCACCGCAGCCATTCTGGAGACACCACTGCTCTTTGGGGAATGCAGACAAAGATGCCACAGAAGAAGAAAAAGTGCTGCCCATTAAAAAGAGAGAGAAGGTAACCTAGGAAACAGAGGAAGATGCTTGTTCAGGGGTGTCAGGCCTGAGCGCACAAGATGAGGAGGTGAATGGAGGATAGAAACAGAGGAGAGAAAGACAAGTCACCTTGAATGAGTCATCCAACACACCTCAGCACTTCGCTCAGAGGCATATTTACAGCACAATGGTCTCTCCCCCATTTCTGGTTAGTCAAGCATCACAACACACATCCACACACAAAAGGTGCCACCCTGTTAAAGAAATGTCATGGCACACAAACCAACACAAGCTGGATAAAAAAGACATTTAATTTCATTTCTCATTTCTCTGAATTGGCTTGTTATTGGATTGAAAAGGTGCGCTTGACCACAGCCACTATGACTTGCAGCAGCTCATGGTCTAGACACAGAGAAGTGGGTTCAAATGGTAAAATGCACTAGTAATAAAGAGCAAAGAAACAGAAGCAGCTGATGGCATCAACTGAATCATGGCCAAGGCTCCTCTGCGTTACAACCGCGACTGTTTGCATCCTTACTGAAGGAAGGGGCACTGTTACTATGAGATGAGCCCTACCTCAAGTACAAGCGATTTACTCTGTACATGGCATCGATGAGCCCTACCTCAAGTACAAGCGATGTACTCTGTACAGGTCTCCTGTGTCTTTCAGTTCACATGAGGCTTGGGGTTAAACATGTTGCTTGAAATATGATGAATCATGAATGTATAATTTCCAAATTGCTAAGATGCTGGTATGATTACCTTAACAAATATAATATGGTTTTGATGATGAATAGTTACAGGTCTTCATAGCCCCTATATTTGGTTGGTTTTTCTGTTTGTGACTGGAGAAAATAAAAAAGAAGGGTTTTTGTGAAACATAATAGACACTGTGAAAATAGCTGCTGCTCACTACACTTAGTGCTGTATCATGTTGCTGGCAAGGCTGGTGTTCTCTCTCTATCTGAGTCAGTTCAGGTCAACTACATTTTGGATGTGCTCTAAAAATCCTCACAGATCCATGGATCCAGTCTGACTGTACTTGAACCCCTTTTTGAACAGATGTCTTGTAGTTGTTGTTTTGTTTGCTTTATTTACAATATCAAAAGTTTTTGACCCATGGCAACCCTTGTTGCGTTTATCTCTAGTGCTTGTATTTCTCACTTTTTAGCCACATTTCCCATGAACACCGCTGACTGGTCAGGTCAAGAAGCATTGGGTTTTCTGTAAGAAAATATGGCTTCTGTGACTACTATTGTAGTTCCCCCCCATTAAAAAGGTGAGGCCTAGTTCTCACCAAACCACAGGTGACTAAATGAAACGCATGTTTGGAAATCCACAGGGAAGAGTGATAGTGAGGGAAGAGAGACGTCTGTTTTACTCTGCAGCATAGAGAATGCAGCAGACATGGTCTGATGAGGCCATGTCCCGTCTGATACTAGAGCAATCGTTTCATTCTTATAGCCAGGCAGACACACATCCACAGGCAGTGTAAGGTTCTAAGATGTTCTAGACGCGACACTTGAGCCAAGTGTCCCCACGCACATCACAGATACTCCTAGTATGTCCATGCAGGTGGCCAACTAACACATTTACTCACATTTCAATCCTTTATACAATTCTTGGGATTTTAAAACAGAGATGTGAGATGCAAAGTCACATAAGAAAAATAAAACAAACAGCAGTATAATTTACAGCAGTACTGCATGGTGTTTATTTCTAGTATTTTAGTCCTTTCATCACTGGCAATAATCAACCAAGTTCTAGAGTACATGTGTAATTGTGTTTTTAAAATACTGAAATGCTATAATTACATTTCATATTGGCACAAACAAAATCAGCACTGGACATTATTCCACTTTAAGTCTAAATCCACTTCACCATTTATCTATAATATTTTTGGTGATAGCATTTCACATTTCACGAATACTTGCACTTTATCATTTTATATGATAACCAACAAATATTGTATAAGAATCCAGTAATGTACTATTTGCTTCATTCTGGAATTTTAAGTTCTATCCTTTATAACAAGTAACTTCATTTTGGAGCACATAAACACAAGTGGAACTTCAATTCAGAACTTCTGCCCAAAAACAATTATGAACCAAAATAATACTGTACCTTTCCATTGTAACAAAACAGACAACACACAATATCAGTCCAAAAAGGATCATTTATTAACAAAACTTATAATACAAAGAAATTACAACTAAAGAACTGACTCATTTATCAACATGTCAAGTGATCAGGCACAGAATTACTGAATGACATTTGCATCCAGTTATGGCCATTAGAACCCTGAGCTTGGTATAAAATATGAACTGCGGTACAAATGTACGTTGCACAATGATTAGGAAGTGTTACAAAAGGTAAAGCATAAGAGTAGAACTGACTGCATGTACAGTTAATGGAGAAAATTCTTTCATGCAGAGTAGACTGTCTGTACAGTTGGTACTTGTAGAAATACTATGCTGCAATTCAGTGTCCATGCATCAGCAGGGACCTTAAAAACAAATGTGTCCCATGGCAGCAAAACAACCCAGTGCAGAAAACCATTTCTCCTTTAAACCCTATATGATTGCTGTCGCTTTGTATCCCTTTAAATGACATTTTACTTTACAAGAAGCAAGAGATTGGCTGCGAAAGTCTTCAGCCTCAGGATAGTGGTCAGCAACAGCATCACAATATTTATGAAAACTAATAACTGGGTAACTCCTTTCAGGCCTTCACTTCAAGGGTCACAGTTTGAGGGTCAGGGGTCATGGTGTTGGAGTCACTAGGAGGGGGCATCTTCTCCATGTATAGCCTTGTACTTAGCCATCTCCTCTGGAAAAACTTTGCTGAGCTCAGAGATTAAAAGGCTTTTGAATTTCTGTGATAAAAGAAAACAGAACAGTAAAAAGTACAATCTTCTTTTAATGTTCTAAAAATTCTAGTTGTTATATAAAGATATAAATTAACCGATTTGTGGGAAAAAAGCCTCTACCGATGAGTAAAAGATTTTTTTTTAACTGCCCAAAGACAGTTGCTTTATCAGACAAGGCCATTTTGGCAGAGAAGGCATCCAAGTACATGTCTCTTTGTATAATGAAGATGATCCTTGAACGTGATTTCGATCTTTTTTGGAATTTCTAAATATACTTATGAGCATTTAATCAGTGATATTTCATTTAATTTTGCAGTGTCACTGGTGGAGAATCTCAGTGACCCTGGTGTTATCTCTCACCATCATGGTGTCAATCTTCCCTTTGACCTGTTCGTTCCTCGCCAAGGCTCTCTCCAGACATTCCTTAGTGTACAGCTGGGGGTTACGACCTTGGTCAATGTACCTACAAACACAAGAGATATTACCAGCTGAAGCTATGAAGACAGATAAACTCTGCTATCTAAAGATGATAAGATGGCCTAGCTTTGGGCAAAGGCACATTCCAATATATGAGAATCCATAGTTTTTCTAAATCCTACAGGGCCACTGTTAGATGTGTTATATTACTTGAGCAATCCTCCACATAAATACAGTTAACTATGAAAAGCAGTTACAAATAAAGAAATTCCTAAAGTTCTAAATGTTAGTATGTGCACGCTGAGTGTTAACATGACTCCCAACAACCCAGAATAACACCAATATAAGCTATGTAACATCACCAGGTCTCCGGGCAAGGTATGACTAAACAGAATTGTAATATTTTTGAAAGGCGTTTGGCGTAAAGTGCAACGTATTCACTCAACAATACAATGCGTGTATTCACAGTAATACAGCAACGACAAAAAACAGCTGACTTGTACAGAACACTATAAGATAAGTTACAGAGCTGAATATTCGCAACAATTTAACGCTTAGACGCAGGACTCACTCAAAGACCTCCAGCGGTACGTTGATCTCATGAAGCTGTTGACGGCACTTCTCGATGTCTTGCAGACCAGATATCATAAAATTTCTTGAAAAAGAAAGCAACGGAATATATTAACATTATACTTCTTTGCCAATTCACAGCGTTATGACAAGCTCAACAAACATGACTCACAGTTTTTGGTTGAGTCCTGCCTGGCTGCTAGGCTGGAAGTCGCTGACTATGATTCCCAGCTGTCGAATATTCTCGATAAATTTCTCCAGATGCTCCTCCAAGTTATCAAATTTTTCAGCCATGTCAATTAACTGTTAATATACCACCAAAAACAAACAGAAATGTCTCAGTTTAGGATAATCCTTTTTACAAATATTAGCTGTTTACTGTTAGCTACTGATAATACAGCAGCCACTACGTCGACACACTTTACGGCACCAAAATAACCAATCGGTGTGGGTACTGATCTACTACCTAGGTAACAGCCAATGACAGACTATCGTTTACTGACATGTAAAGCATCAAAGTGTCGTGATGTAAGTATTTAAAAAGCTTCTTTTCTCAAGCTCATAAAATGAATGGGGCTCAGTGCTGCAGAGTGACGGTGACTTGACTGCATCTAAACAGTTATAGAAAATGTAAACGCCCCGTGTATTTAAATAACATTCGAAATATATATTACTTCATTTGGGAGTGTGTCATACAATGATCATAGTTTATCATGAAACTTATAAAATTAAAAAAGTCTTATGTTGTTTGACAGCCTGCACGTATCCAGCTACATTGTAGTATTACTTTGATAATCTAAACATAAACAGACACCACAGTGTTCAATTACTTCGGCTTTACAAATATGTTAGGGATCATTTCAAAGACAGTTATATAATATCCTGAATTAAGAGGATGTCGAAATCTCTTATTGAAGCTTAATGCTACATTCAAAAGTAGACACATAGTCCTGGAGTGTTTTTTTAATTCAACATAAGGACTATCATCTTCAAAGTTCGGTGTAACTTCATCGGTTTGCATTTTGTGTTACTCAAATTGCTGTAGATGTTCTCAGATGGGCAGTTATTACGTCACTGTGATGTTTTTCATTGTTCAGTGTACATCAGTGTTGCCACTTTATAAACTATCAGGGTGATGAGAATGGGCTATATTCAGTTTACTGTGTGAAATAAAGATTGCACTTAAATACCCTGAATAATCCATTCATTCTTAGTTGTAGGATTCACACAAAGGACCAGAGGCTGAAGACTGTTGTTAACCCACATATTTAAATGTTCCAGCGCATTCAGTAATGAAGAAGAATAAATAAAAATATCTGCATTTAACATCTTAAATAAATAAGTAAAATATACATAGATACATATATATAAAACTACAGTAGTCTAAAGAGGAGCTGCTGACTGCAACGGGAGACTAAAAATGAATATCAGTGATGCGATGTTCAGGTCCCTCTGGTATTTCTTACTGTCAAACTTATGGCCTATAAGTGCAGGCAACCAGGAAGCAAGAACAGGTCTTTCAAAATAAAAGTAACGTTAATGATACAACAAAGGTATGGTGTATTCTTTACACCTAAATGTATCTGGGTAGGAACTATAAGGTTTCGTGCCTGGAATAGAGGTTTACCACAATTGTTTTCACGATAAAATCATGACAGAGTAAAATTAGGCTTTGCTATCTTTTAAACTCCTCTCAGCATACAGTAGGTAGTTTTATATTTCCTTTTTTTCTATGTAATTCGTTCACTGTACATTCGTTCACATTTGAAATGGTTGTAATATCTTTTAATGGTCATTATGTGGCAATAAAGATAAAGGTAGGCAAGAAAGTGTAGGAATTTGAAAATCAGCACTTTAAAGTACCTCATTTGATCTGTTTTGTTATTTCAATTGCCAAATGGAATATGTTGATAGTGTAATTTCACATACAACAACATTAATATACCCATTTCTGTGCCCAGCTTGCCTTGAACGTAACCTTATTCCAGGGCTTTTGTTTTGAAACGTCCTGCCGTTTCACCTATGAGAACAGACTGGCTGAGAAGGATCACCGGGGGCTGGCTGTAGCTGCCCCCAGCGGC